GCCAAGGAAGCGTGGGCTTTTGCCAGGGTCTAAGGACCTCAAGGATTCAATAAAAGAGGCTAGGCAGATGTAAAAAGCCTGGCAGAGAGGACACAGACCATTAGCTTAATGACAGAATGAGGAATGAGGAATGGTGAGATAAGATTCAAAAGCCAGGGAGTGCAAAATTTCCTTTTAACAAGAATCAAGGCAAGTAATCTCATAAATAACACAGCAAGAGGTGTGTAAAGAACATATATATACATATATATATATACATATATACATATATATATATATATATATATATATATATATATATATTATGCCTCAGATTAAGTAAAGAAATAGGTAAGAAAGGATGGTTGTGTCATTTAGTTGGTGAAGCCATGACTATCAGCAATATTAATACTGTCTGCTCTGCTTTTCCTCAAAAGCGGAACCTTTTGCTTTGAAGTGCTTTGAGTTCCCTGAAAGCACACCTGACTTTTAGCTTCAGCAGCTATTATGGTGCCTGAGTTGGTAATTACACATTTCACAATTCTTGTTACTTCAAAGAAACAACAGTCTTGTCACCAAAGGACATACCATGCTGCTGTGGTACAAAGCAAAGCCTTGGGGATTACTGAAGCCACGCATTGTTGTTCTCAAAGTCCCTAATTTCATTAATAGCACACAGCTTTAAAGTTCCTTAAAATAATTGACAATGAGACAAAACTATGTTTTTTTAATAAATGCAAGGACTTTCAAGTCTGATTTTCAAAACTTTTTGAAGTTTCTTTCAAATTAATGCTCATTAATCCTTTCATAATTTCACCAACAATTTTAGAATTTAAGGGGTGTAAATCAAATAATGTTACAATAATTATTTATTTGGAAAAAAAGGTACAATTTTTACACCTTTTATAAATCATAGAGAGGATGTAAGTAACTACTGAAAAAGTCCTGAGTCATTCACAATAGCCAAGTCATTCCAAAGGAACTTGGGATGTCTGGTAAATTATTGTGACAGTTTGCAGAACAAACATAAAATAAAAGACAAAAGCAAAACTCGGAGAACAGAATGTCCTAACTCGCCACAAAGCACGGCTTCCAAGGTCTGTAAGTCAGCAGATAAGTGATATTTGGTTTTATACTTTTTTGTTTTGTTTTTGTTCCCTACATTTAAAAAGGCAATCTATAATGCTTGCGGATTGTTGTGAGCTCACTATGAGTTCTCTTCAGTCTGTGTTGTCAACTTAAAGGAATATCAGGGTACCTTATAGACATAAATCTTATACCACATTGTACAAAAAACAACTGAATGAGTATAAACTGGTCAGTTTTAACATTTTGGCCACTAACAGATAAAGTGCATCTCATTGATGCGTATTGCTCAGTGGGATATACAATAAATAGTCAAATACTTTTACTGTCTGCTTCCCCACATATGAGATTTAGTAGTATCCTTACACCATAAGTCCCCATGAAAAATATAGTGGCACTGGTGTGTATTGGACAGAGAGTAAACAAGTTGAAACCAGATAGAAAGAAACAAACAGAAAGATTGAGGTGGCTTGATGATTGGATCAAAGCATCTGCAAAACTGCCACTTTCTGTTTTAGTCTACAGTGTCTAGTATCTATTAAAAGAAGTACAAGGAGGGACAGCGATGGACTGCCAAAAACTAAATGAAGTGCAAGAGGAGTAAAGGCTTGCATATTATGTCCAGTTCAGCAGACACACTACTGCAGCTCAAATGTTAGACGTTAATGCTAGCAATGACAGACAGGTGTCAGAATATATACTGTGCATTATAGTTTGTTGGATGTGAGCTTACATAGCCTCAGACCAGTCAGAGTCCTCATGCTATTCATTATGTCATAACTAATTAGTGTATGTCTTGGTACAATTTATCAAAACTGTTTTGATAAAAACTACAGACAGGGCTTTTTTAATATTTATTAATATTATTTCAGTTCATAGGTTCATGCAGTGAAACACATTTTGTAGATCAGATAGATAAAGATGGATATTTTACCCTTTTCTTCTGTTAATAACAATGATTTAATGAAAATTCACATATTTTCCTAAAGGATTTGAATATAACATCAGTCTAACATTTCTAAAACTCAAATATAAGGATATTAAAAATATAGTATAAATATTTGATATCAATAGCATTTTCAAAATATGCCTTTGATTTAAAAGAAGAGCTAACTTATTAGAGGTAACTCTATGAGTTGTGGAATACGCAACTAACAGGAAAAAAACATGATCTGAACAGAGTCATGCAGTTTCCCCCTTATATTTAGAATAAAACTCAGCTATGTTACTTCCTAACATACGATACACTGGCACTGTGGCCACAGATCTTAAATGTTCTATATATATAAAAAAATAGATCTTTAAATTCATCTTTAGGATGCTCTTTCAGACTTGGATTTTCATGATTTCAGAGGAAATGCAAAAAGGCAGCAATACTGCATGACTAGAACAAAAATATTTGTACATGTTTATGGCGCATTGTATCATTAGCAGTTTTAGTGATAATGGCAGTAGATTATCACAGACGTTCCAGAAGCAGCACAAAAGGAGGTTTTTATTAAACATTAAAGAGACGCTAAAATTTTTTTTAATCATTAAGATGTTTGCACTTGACTTTAAATAGTCTTTCCAGTGACTTTGAGTTTATTTTTTTCTCATGCAACTTTCAGGAAAAGCCAGCTTCAATTTATACCCATTTTAATGATATTCTATTAACCTCAAAATCTACTGAGTGAAAATAATTTCCTATAATCTGGTTAAAGTCTACTGTAAGAAGATGTAACTTATGTGCCTCTGAAGAATACATCTATGAACAGAAGGTTGCTCCCAAGGGTCATTATCACTAAAAAAGCCTACTGGCAAAAATGAGGATTTGAGGACAAACCCATAGAATAGCATGAAAAGGATGAGAAATTATGTATAAATAAGTTGAAATACTGTATATCAATATTTAATCAGTCTTATGTTTATTTCTACAAGTTTTCAAAATGCTGGAAGATATAAACTAATATAGAGGGAACAAGAAAGTGTGCAAAAGATGGATAGTTTCCAGGTACAAAAAGAAAGTAGGCAGGAATTAAATGGTGTTCACTTTAGTAAAGGGGGGGGGTTAACCATATCATCAGTGGTTAAAAAAATGTTGGAATTTATTGCATTTCTTCATCTACACATCATGAGCTGCTTCAGTTGTGGTCAATTGATCCTACAGCTGGAACCTCTTACACATCTGTGTATGTATTGACTGCAAATGGGTTTATGTAGACTATTGCCTTATAGGGAGAACAGCAAGACTATAGGCATCACCAAATGGTTGCAGAGTGCCATGAAGAATCCAAACAAATTTTTCTTTTTTCTATACCTACTTTTCCTTTAACTTGCCAGAAATTATACTTACATTAAGTGTATATGTTGTCAAGTTTATTACACGAGAACATTAAAACTGTCTTTTGGTAAGGGCAGCTAGAAACGGTGCAATTGCTCTTTTGGGGTGAACATCCCTTAGCTAAAAGTCTGCCTGTCTCTGTTTTTAATTAGATTCTGATATCAGCCCTTTTCTCCCATCCTTCCCTCTCCTCTCCCAACATCCGTGAAATTGAATGGCATTATCTATTATTTATTCACCCTCATTTGCTTATTGTTTCTCGTGGATGCCTTAGTTAAGCCACTTGCTGCTCTGCTGCCTGTGATATGATGCTCTGCTTCAACTGCCTCACTGTTCAGGCCCACCTCCTCTGCAGGTCTGAGTCCAACTCATTTGCTGGCGTTGGTTGGGGAGCTATGGATTTTTTTCCCCTTTCACCCAATGACAGCACGGTGAGGTGCTATGAGGGCTGAGTGCTAATGAGCTGACTCTGCAATGCCGGGGAAGACGCTCTCTAACACAAAGGGGGGGATCATAGAAAAGAGCAGAGATGCTCCAACAGACAGCGGAAGTCAAGGGGCCATTATGATCATGTCATGCAGGGGGTTAGAAGGACACAGCTGCAGCAGTTTTTTAGACAGTGCCATGGGCCAAAAAGTTGACATTTTCACCAAACTGAAGATCTTGTTTATATTAGATTGCAAAACTGAATATTTTATTTACTTTTGCTCGTTTATGATTTTTTTCAAGAAATGGTAAATGAAAGCATTTTTTTCCACATCTCTTATGTTGGTGTGATCATCCACACACAATAAAACTACTATGTACGCCTACTCAAATATAATATATATATATATATATATATATATACATAATAAATTATGGACACTAACCAAACAGCTTTTTTAGTACAGACGTGATAACTTCAACAAGAGGGCAGCATGTTTACTAAGTTTACTAAGCATCATATGGCTTAGGGCATCTCATATCAATGGTAGCATTAATGCTTATATCAAGCATATAGGTTAAACTTCCAGGCTATTAAAGATGCTATCAGATTCCAGATTCTTATTCAGTACCAGACTACAGATTTTCATCTTTTTTTCTTTTTAAGAATCTGAGCGAGGCTCTGACTTGAAAGTTTTGAAAGGCCTTGACCAGTCAAACTGCTTACTCACGACTGGATTATTGGAACCACCCTTTGAGTTTTATTAAACCTTAACTCTGGATATTTGTGAAAAAATAGTTTTTTTTTTATTTTATTTTCTAAATTTTCCTAAGAAACCAATATTGTACATGTAAACCACACAGAGGATCTCCCCCCAGGGATAGATGTATTAAGGAAATGCCAGCGTGAGTTATGTGGTGTTACAATGTTGAATAAGTGTGAAGGCAAAAATATCACCACATATGCTTTAAAAAGCTTGTGTTTTTTTAATTTTACTATAGTTTTTTTTTTTCAAGTTTGTTATTTCCAACAAGACTTCTGATTCCGGGTGAAGGCTATAGGGACGTGTCTACATGTCTTCACTCAGCTGCAACCTCCATAAGCTCCTGAATAATTCCTGCTTATTCTTGGCGGACCCAGAAGTATACAGCAGTCTCGATGTGACTGAAAAAGAAGCACACTTACATGCATGAGTAACCGAGAAGCTGTTGGACGACTCGAGATTGTCGACATTGTAGTTGAGGTGAAAAGGTTTCTCAGTGGTGTTTTGATTGGTGTTGTAGAGTTGGACAGCAAACCTGAACGCGCTGTGCTCCTGCACAGTGGATCGCATGAAAAGTCCCCCTTCAAAGAGATAAATACCAAAATCAGACAACTCTAAGGGTCGAATGCACACTCTATAATCATAATTTCCGTCCATTCTTTTTATTGGATGGGAAGTTACTCAGCAGGTACAAAGAAACTGTTATTAATTTAAGGAGCAACTCGTTCATTTCCGAGCAGTGCGCCGGTGTGGAACTCTTCGGAACAGAAAGGGGAAAAATTAATACTCTCTTTGTCTTAAAAATCTCTCAAAAACCATTTCTGACAGTTAATGTAGAAGCTGCAGCTTAATTGAAGCTTTTTATTCAAAGCAGCTACCTTAAGAATGCAGCACTGCCTGTGGAAAATCAAGTTACTCGGCGTCATTGCGCAGAGCTCCGCATGCAGTTTCCAGTATAAAACTGCAATCATGCATTATATTAGCATTACACAAGCAAAAACTGCAGCCGCCCAACACAGCGGGACACTTACCGATGTTAATCTGATTCGGGAATCCGGCCAAGGACTGGTCCGAGAGCCACAGCAAAAAGAAAACCACGCGTTGTGCCATTTTCTCCGACCTGATATTTTCAACTCCTTAAAAGGTTTTCTCTAAGCAGATTCATATGTTCGGGATAGATGCCGGGAATAAATGCAAATCCAGTTGGTAGATGATGGTGGCTCACAGTACACCGATTCATTCATTGAGGTGCAGCCCAGCTGCAGAACATTTTTTTTTTTTTGCAAGTAAGAAAGAGAGGCAGCGAAAGAGACGGAGAGGGAGGGATGTTGGGGGAAGATGAAGCTGATCTGAACTCTGATTGGACCCTTCGCGGCAGGCCAGCGTTGGTCAAACTTGATCTGACGTTAAATTAAAAAAGCCTTAGCCTGCTAGATTACGACACCTTGGGAAGAGCTCGGCACTTGTCAATATTAGCCGTCCGCTGACCGAGTCAATAAAAAAAAGAACAAAAACACACCACATTCTCAGGCGGCCGGTTATTTTTACTTGGCTAGCTGCTTCCAGATGCGACATCAGTCGCTTTATTGTTCGCATGTAAAGAGAAGCGGCATTTGCTCTGCTGGTCATGTGTAGACTATGATTTTTTGGCAAATACTCAGAATTACATTTTCAAAGTTTGGGTTAATAGGGAGAGTCAGGAAGAAAGACCAAGGAAATCGCGAGTTGAAAGTAAGATCAGTATGTGATTAAAATAAATGAAAGTGTAAGAAGAAAGCCAAACATTTTATAGAATTAACCACACAGTCAGAATTTTCACTTTAGAGGAAAACGCGAAGCCTCAGCGAGCATGGAGCTGACCATGGTGCTGAAAGAGAACCGAACGAAAGTTCTGTTCGCTCAGGGCATGTTTAACCGCATTTATTTATCACCTAATAGATCAGACATTATGTAAACATAACAAAAAAGAAATATTTTGTTTCCATACGCATGACACTTAAGGAAGACTAACAATATTACACTGCTTTATGTTGGTCTGTGGCAATATATATGTATTTTAAATCTTCTGTGACATTTTCTTTTTTTCAATAAAGTTCAATGCCACTTCTTTATCACGTTTTTTCTCTTAAAGATGATACAAATCAGAACATGGTGGTGAAATGTCGGGAAAAGCACAGAGAGTTTTAATAATAATAATAATAATAATAATAATAATATAAGATCTTAAATGTCCAGGATATTGGGTTATGTTGTGATATCACTTAGTCATAAGAGGATGGCAATTTGCAGTAGAGTAGGGGTCAAACATAGTCATTTTCAACAAATTATTACATCTCTAGGAGTTTAATATACTATAAGATTACATTGATATTGTGTCACATGAGTATTGATTTCAAAGTTAAATAATCTTGGCTGCCTGCATTTAATAACTGATAGCATCATGGCAAGATAAGTGCAAATCTTTGGTTTATTTTTTTAAACCGTGCTATTACAAAAATAGTTGTAATAGTGGGGATAGAAAAGGATTTTATGAATAGCACGCATGCAATGAAAGTTTTTCTTTTTTTTCAGACCTGAGCAGGCTGATTATTACAACTGAGGATAATGAATGAGTAAAAGGCAGGTGGTGTGTGTGCGTAGGGTTGGAGGGAGAATTCACCACCAAAGGCACCCAAATAGTTTAGATAAGGCCTCAGCATAATTGATTTTAGATTGTGGTGATTGCACTGTAATATCAGTAATTAGGGCATTTTGGCCATGCTAAATTATAATTATTATCAGAGCTCAGCTTCTGCAGGAGCTCTGTTCTTTCACAAGTGTTACTTGGGAGAGAATAGAATTCTCAAACTCAAAGATATTATTTACGTGACAACAAACTATTATGTGATCTGGATTTTTTAGATTTGAAAAGACACAAAAGGGTGTAACCTAGAAGCAGGCTTAATAAATAGACTGAGGATTAGATAAGGGGAGGTTGCTTTTGTATTAGAAGATGACGATGATTCACAGCCCGTAGCTTCGAGGATCACCAGCAAGAATTACTCATTTGCTCCCTCTCATCCCTTCCCAACACACCACGATAAAGTTTTCATCTTTTCCTGTTAGAGGGGACATGAATGAATAAGTCTGAGGCTAGTGTAACATTTTCTGCAAAAAAAATAATGACAGTCCCTGCCTCTGTTGGTAGTCTAGAGGCAGGGATTGTCATCATCTTTTAGGCTTGATTCGATCATGATTACTGGACAATTATTTTATCATCTTGACATTAGAAACCTACAGTGTCTTATAACCATAGGTCAATTTGATATGGAAAATAATAATTGTTTTTTAAGCAAATTGTGTCACTCCCAATTAGAGACTGAGCAAAATAAAAAAATAGTGACCTAAACATTCCCAAGAATTACATAAAATGTTTAAACATCCCTACAAAAAGAGCAGACATTGTTACAAGGCCTACTAAGTTTCTTTTATTCTTCATCTTGAACTTTGACCAATTCAGCTTATTAAGATGCCTTAATCTAATAGATTGAATTGTAGAACTGGATGCATGTTTAGGGTTTCCATTACACTGACAGGTGAAGTGCTGTCCTCTTTGGCTGTCTTTAAAACCAAATATGTGGTTACCTACATCTTTCCATCCCATATTACAACTCTCCTTATTTGTGCTGAAAAAAAGAACCCCACTGTATGATGCAATTAATCAGATTTGTCACAATGAGGATGGGAGGTTTAGAGAGATGTGTTTTCAGCGTTTGCATATAGTTGTTCAATTTTCGTTTTAACTGATCAAAGAACCGTTTTCATTATATCTAATGGTCCATACTAAGCTTTAACTGGACTTTTATTTAAAAATGGCTTTATCCTTGCCACTCTTCCATGAAGGCCACAGTTTGTCATCAACACTCAACAGTTTCTCCCAACTCAGCTGTAGCACTCTATATCACCTCCACAGTTACCATGAACTTCTTGCCTGCTTCTCTGAGTTAATGCTTTCTTAGCTTAGCCTATTCCCATAAGTGATGGCTGTTTGATGCTGTGCTATACTCTGGTTTTCCATGGATTTCTTTACCAGTTGTTCGAATCTTTTTTACAGAATCTATTTTTCATTTAAAGTTATTTATAGCTTCTCTGTCTCTGTTCTGATATGTTTCTTGGTTAATATGATGCCATTTATTCAGTAATGTTTGCTATTAAACTTCTTAGGCTTTCACAGAATAGCTCTATTTATAAGGATTTTAAATAACATTCAACTGGACACAGTTTAATTAAGCAACTTTTTAAAGCATTTGAAGTGAAATAAAGATAATGGAATTTGATACATGATCTGGATGGGTGTTTTCATTTTGTTTTTTATATCACTATATCTCTGTATGCATATTTTTCCATATTTTTCTTCCACCTTACATGTTCTTCTTCACCTTGAGACCACAAAAAGCCCCATAACATACACGAAGGCTTAGGTTTTTATTTAATAAAATGAGAAAACATTTTAGGTCATGTAAGCAAAGCATAACATGGCTCAAGCTTGTGTTATATTCACACTCAAAAAACTATTTTAAACAACATCTCTAGGCACCTTTTAAAAGCAGACTGTAACAATGTGCAATCTGAATAGCTGTTTCTACTCTAACAAGGAGAATCCACAGAATCATTTGTCAAAACACCATTCCCATTTTAATCAGACAAAATGAAAACAATAATAACAAAAAATGAACCAATTCCCTTGAACAAAAACGTGTAAAAAGCTTACAAAGTGAACTGAATTGTAAAAATATCCCTTATATTAAAAGGAAGTCAGCTTTCTGGAAATGCTGCAATACCAAGAAATAAGGCTCAAAAACTTTTCTTTCTGCTTTTAAATATCACTACCTTAATCAAACAGGTCCTGTGATTCACATTTGTTTTTGCTTTTTTTTTTTTTGGTTTTGGTTATCAATTTGATTACTAGAAAGCTAAGGAAAAGTTCAGCACTGTGTGTCACACCTGCACTTGTGTCACAAGGGGATCTGTGTGGGGGGAAATGTGCATCTGCAGGACATTTTCTGAACCTCAGCATGCGCCTCACTGCCAAGTCAAAAGAAGCAGCCAGCAACTCCATGTGAACTGGAGACAGCACATGCCTCTACTCATCGCCCCCAGTAGAATGGCAAGAGGCAGCTCAGTGATCCCTGAAAAACATGAAGATGTGACCAGTGGGCAGGGAGGAAAAAGCTGATGTTTAATGTGTGGATATTAAACCTACTGCTTTGTTTAAGGAAACCCTGCAAGTCATAAAAATTTAAATTAGCCAAATAATAAAAAATATCCCCTGTATCCCTAAAAACAGCACTTATCGAAACATTGCTGAGAAAGACCTTGGACAATTAGCTACTGCAGAACTAAAGGCCTATCCCAAGCCACCCTTTCATCACTAAGCTTATTGAAATCTAGTTGTGTTTCGAGAGTTAAACAACTTCCTAACAATGACCAGCAGCTTTGACATCTTTCACTCAGGTTTCTTTGCTAATCATAGACTTCCCTGGTCAAGGTCTTCATTGATTTCTATATAAATGCAAACTGAAAGAACCACAGTGCTGATAGTATTGAACCTTACTGCAGCATTTGACAGTGTTTATCGTTCCACTTTATAAGATAACCTTGAAAACTAGCTCGGCTTCTCTGATACAGCACTTGACTTATTAAATCTAAATACTGTGACTTTTTGTGTCAGTAGGTAACTTTAAATGAGAGACCACAAAAACTACATGCGGCGTTCCCCAAGGGTTCATTTTAGGTCTCATCCCCTTTGATATCTACATTTTCCTCCTAACTCAGATTTTAATAAGCAACAACATAAGTTACCTTAACTATGCAGAGGGCACACAGCTATACATTACAGTGTCACCAAGGGACTATGAACCCATTCAAAGGCTGTGTAAATGACAAAAAAAAAAAAGCTGCAGGCTTAGCCAGAAGCACACACGCCCCTGTAGGAGGTCCGACAGTGTGGGTGTGTTATTTGCACAAATGATTATTGGTTCATTGATTTGCCAACCCTAACCATAACCCCATCCCTAACCCACACAGGATTTGGAACGCCCACACAGTAGTTACGCCCACACATTTCTTCAGTTATGTGTTATTGGGGTAAGTGCATGGAAGAATTAAAGCATCGGATGTATGCACAAATTTTTCTGTTTTCCTGAATCAAAACAGAATTAATGTAAACATTTTTGGACGAAAGAAAGAAGTGTTTGGGGAATTTTTTTATATCAAGTATAGATCTCCCCATAGTTAGATAAATGAGCTAAAATGCTTG